TAATGTACGCGCATTTTACTGATGTACCAGAAAAGTCAACGTTTGGTCTCGGACAACTTATAAATTTGAAGAATAGATGAATTTAAATATATTACAAGATTTAAATTACTATTATTTGATTCGTCAATTCATTACCAAACGAATTTACTTTACTCGTTAATGTTTCCATATTCACGAAAAAATCTGTGAGCATTTGTTCCAGAAAAAACGTGAAATGGACAACCCAGGAAAGTCAATTTTCATTCATTTGAAAAATAAACAAACTATTTAATTAAGTCTTTTTCTTTATGAAAAATAGTTTTGCAACAAGATTATAGTTCAAACTTTATTTGTATAAATACGAGAAAAATGAACGTAGTTAAATATACGAGATATCTTTCCTGACATCTAAAATTGAGCCTCTCAGGAATTACCCTAATGCAGTATGGTTGCCCCTAAAATCAGCAACGCTACTCATAATGTTTTTCCAAAGTTCTTTAGAGTTTTTTGATTTTTTATTGATGTTACTTTTAAAATAAGCGGCCTTTTCTGTATAGAATGCCTTGTTAACAATAGTCTTTAAATCTTTATAATATGCTATATCTGAATTATGAAGTATGAACCAGCTTTTATTGTGTGCTTTATCTCTTCTAATCTGAATTTTAGTAAGGAATCATAATTGATATCTAGTACTTCACTATATTTATTTAAGTCTACTTAGCCGAGGGACAGGTGAATTTGCTGCAAGGATGGTTATACGAAAGGGTCCAACCCAGCGACCAGTGTAACTAAGCCATTAATCTTTCCGTTTCCGTGCTTATGTTACAGTCACTTTAATCTGAAAAATATCTATAAACCCGTTTCTGGTGTAAATACTAAAATAAAATTAAATAATACCAGTAATAGTAGATCACTTGTAATCAACTCAAAATTTTGAACAACTCCATAGAAAAAAAAGTAACGTGTTTTACTTTTTTAATAGACAATGGTAAGAAATCCTTCGTGTGCAAATCCGAGTCGCACTTGTTTGTATTCTTATAAGAATGGCCAATTTTTGTATTGAAACTCCAGATTTTATTTAATTTAAAAGTAATGAATGCCTATTATTGCATTTTTCATATGAATTCCTCAAAAGTAAAAAGGTCATTCTAAATTATTAATATGTTCCCGTCATTGGTATCTACTCGGGTGTTATGCCCTTGAATACAGTTTTGTTCCTATTTGGCGAGAAGCCACATCATAGTTAAAATTCAACAGTATGTTCATTTAACAATGGCTTAGTTTGCAGTGTTTATGGATATAAGCCAATTTATTGTATGTAGTTAATAATGAATATTGTGACTCTCTTGAGATTGATCTTATTCTTTATAATGCTCCGTGCTTTAAAATGAGAAAGTGGAACATACATGTTATCTGTCATACTAATTTCCTCTAAAATTCTGAAATATAAATAAAATTTACAAATTATCCTGCTAATTTAACAGAAATGCGAAAGATTGTCAATTGGACTTATACAGGAAATTGTTTTAACCGATGCAAAAACTTTGATAATTCAGTATCAGTAATAGAACACATTTTGATCAATATGCCTTACCGATTATTAATTTTCTTGTATTCAAGGGTGGCAAATATTGGGTTGTTGCGCCCATGTCTTGAGCGTATTGGAATAGGCTAGACATCAAGAACATTTCAATCACCCTGCTTCATTTTTGGATGATGTAGTTGTAGACATTAAAACTATAGTTTTGTTTGGTTTTTCTTTTGCCATTCGTTATTTGAATGTTAATCTTGTCAATATAGAATGACTACGTTGCCAAGTGATATTTCTCTAACTATAAATGCACCTTTAGCCATTGATTTTGATGATGCTCCCTATGAAGTATTTACTTACTCGTATATATCTTTAATACGAGTAACGTTTCGTTTGCGCCGGGCCTAAGTTTTTTCCCATACATTATGAGCATTGTCCTTTGGTATTAGGCCTGGATAAACATAAAGGTAACTTATTATCATATTAAACGATTCCCTATGGATTAAAGTACACGGAACAAGGACGAAATGAAAGGTCTTGTTATACAAAAATGCTTTATGCTTTAGGCCAAATTACGTGTTCGAACCTAAAATTAAAAAGTATCATTCTAAACAAAATAATGAGACAATGAGTTATACAACGAACCTTTGTCTATTTCTCTAGGAACAGTATATACTATCTAACAGACTTCAAAATTGCAAAGCAGTTTCTAATGTTCGATGGAGATGTGTGTGTTTTTTATGATTAAGTATATATGAGTTGCTCGGTAGGGTAGTGGATAGTGGAAATTTTAAATTTACCATTACCTAAGTTTAAAACCCATATTAAGAATTGTCTACTCAGTAAAGGATATTATACTGTTAATGAATATTTAAACGACAAAACTACTTGGAGTTAAATATGGCTCATTTTTCATATATATTAAATTGTTAATCGGTGAGCTTCTTTGGCTACAAATGTGATTGGATTGACGAAAATACTGTTTTACTCTAATATTGTGTAATATTGTAATGGAAAGTGACTTCAAATTTTAATGAAGTCATTATTCAATCTTGACGCTCTGTATGAAATAAAACAGGGAGAAAAAAGCAGTAGATTTACAAACCGATGGCGTAGCTCTCGACTTTCACAAGTGCTTGTAACAGCCTTGACTGAATAAATAATTTTGATTTGATTTGATACCGCAGTACGCGATCGTTGTTGTTAAGCAACATTCGTAAGGGTCGGTCACGGGATGGGTGACCAAAAAAAATATCTCGTTGTCTCTCGTCGGCTGAATGTGAAGTCAATAATACCCTCCAAACCTCATTGTGCTAGCGTGGAGGGTTACGGCCCATCCTCCTCCTTAACCATCTAAAGCCCTTGCAGTGGGGACGTAAAAGGGATAATGGTGATTATTAAGCTAATAATATCCACGGTCTTGTGATGGAACTGGATGGTGGCCACGGGAACTTTGTCTACAAAAGATATCTGGTCTAGCAAAGAAAATTTTAGTTTTGAATTGCTTTTTTTCTCAAACGAACTTTTTAAATTCATTTAATTTCAATACAAAACGTCCCTTCTTTTCAATTCTTATTTTCGCATATACGCATTTTTATTTAACCAACTTGAGAGTTTCCATTAAGATTTAGACAATAAGAAAACTGTACACCCAGGCTGTCACAATTTAATTTAAACTAACTCGCTAATAAAGTAAGGTTTATAATATATTCAAGTACATTTAAATACACAGTCGCAAAAATCAATAACTTTAAATTTGCTTCGCACAATTGTGGAGCTCGGTGGCGCAGTGACTAGCGCGCTCGGTTTGCGATACGATTGTTAAGCAACTTTCGCAATGGCCGGTTATAGGATGGGTGACCAAAATTTATTATTTCAAACTCTTCGGTGCTTCGGAAGGCACGTTAAGCCGTTGGTCCTGGCTGCATCTGCAGTAGTTGACACCCGGATTGGTGGGTTTTGGCAGTGGGCCCGCGTGGTGGGTCATGGCCCATTCTCCCTATTCGATTCCAACCATAGGGAAGGCCTGAGCCCCAGCAGTGGGCACATTAATGGGTTGATGATGAATAAAGTCCGAGTAAGCTGTAGTAAACCGTAAGAAAAAAACTTGATAATTCAGTAGTACTGATTGGGTCATGGTGTAAAATTATTAAAAATATAAAATGTAATAATGATGAAAAAATATGTCCAATTAATCTAATTGAAAAAAATTACAAAGCTACCATTCAATTCACCGTTTTACTCCATTTCCAAAATTTTGAAAGTAATTACAGTATACATATTACGGTAGATTTTGTTACCTTTATAATTTAAGGTTAGGTTATAAAATTGTGTTGCTTACGGTGCATTTACCTTAATTACGGCGCACATGGCAACATTGCTGCCCAAGTCGCAGTTGAGCAATTTTATAATAATCATTAATGCTTTACCAAAAATTTATTATAGATAATTTATATTGCTCTATTTCACGCAAGACGCCACCCTTTGTCTTCGTCTATCTTAATTTGCCTTTTGATTTTATGTCGTTTTATTTTGATTAACGTTATAAGGAAAGGTTTGTTTGTTTGTTTATTTGCATTGAATAGGCTCCAAAACGAATGGATTTATATGAAAGATTCTTTCATCTAACGGAAGCTACTTGTCATGTGGATGACATACGTTATAATTTACGTATGGGAAGTTGCTGGAATACAACTAGATATACTACAACACCCAAGGGTAACCTCAAATTAATTAGCTATCATTGCTAATATAGTACATTGATTCAATCACTTTGTATATTGATAAAAACGGTATTAAAGCCGTTGTGTAGTTAAAGATCTCAGCGTAAAAACAGCAGGGCCCTTTGTTTTATACTATAGATACAAGGATACAAGGATTTTCTTGTTTTAGCTCAAATACGTTTTTATATATTTGCTTTATAAAAAAAAAAAACATAAAATCTGTCAGTTTTAATTATCTCAATATTAAGTTTCGTATTAATCGATATCATTAATTATAATCATTGTATGCATTTTAAAAAGTAAAGATTATATTTTTTGCGATGATATGTAGAAAATACAAATTTAATATGATATATGTGGATATATGAGAAACTGCTAATCTTGACGTTATAGCTGAACACATAGAGTTCTTATTTGTATGAAACGCAAATAGCGCACTAAATTGTTGCACATAGTAATATATTATACAATAATCGCATGTAACCAAGTGGTATGCTCTCTTTATAATTGTAGTCAATTGGCGTTCATAGCTCTTCAATTTATATTGTAATTAATTTTTTAATGGAATTTTCCACCATCTTCTTTCTCATAACAGAATGATCTGTTAAGCTTTTTTTTCATATATATAAAAAAACTTCCATTTTAAACTTAGACCATGTTATAATTACAGATCTTCATACGCGTCACTGAAGAATATATCTATTTCATTTCTTTTTGATTCATCCAATCAGCTGATTTTCAAACTACAATGAATTTAGAACTTTAAAATGAAGGAATACATTACTTTTTTAATAACGGAATTGTTGAAACAACAAATTGAAAATGTTCATGTGTGCGTTGAGCATTTGCCAAGTTTGGACGCGCGTTGCTTCCCGACAGTTTGTGTTCGGGCGCGCGGTGGAGCGCTGCGTTACGTGTTGTCGCGCAACATGACGGCAACGATGGGTGACCATGTCAACAACAATGCCTCGAACAATGATACCGCTACGAATTACGAGGAGGCTCTCGAGAAAACCGGTACTGAATTAAGTTAACCTTTTAACCTTTTTTGTGTATTCTAGCAAATAAAGATCTTATCTTATCTTATCTTTACTTTAACCTTTACTGAAATTGTTTGAAAAACGAAATTAATTGGAAACTTTTCCTTTGTTGCTGTGATATTAGTCCTTTGTACGAAATGTGAATGAGGGTTGTATGCTGAGTTTAGAAGTGTTTTTATACTTATTATATCATGATGATTTGCATGATTTGAAGCTTATGAAAGTCTTTTTTATAAATAGAAATATGAGCTTTTCATTACAAAAAAGTAAACTACTTCTTTTGATTGAACCTATACAGTTGAGTTGCTTGTATTGTCTAAATGGTTATCTCTGACGTTCCGAGTTCGATTTCTTGTTCGGTCATTGTGAAAAATTAAGCTTCTTGTTTCCGATACGAGTGTCACTTTCTATGCATCCAATTTATAAGAGTAAAATGGCGATTAAAAGAGTAATTTATGGTAACTTTTGGAAATAATGGGTTACTTGAAAATAACGAAAGTTTCAATCGTCAGCACGTAATTACAACACTCGAAATATTTAAAAGTCAGTGGAATACGACCATGATTTTTTATTCTTAATACAAAATGCTTAAAATATCCACTTGGTCCCTGGCACCCTGAGATGGGAATCGAACCCACGACCTTTCGCAGCCGGGCGACTGCTCTAACCATTGAGCTACCCGGGACCTAACAGGACTGACGAATCTTTCAAGCACTTGTTACTTTTCGCTGCTACAGAGCGTATTCTCATCAATGTTCAGGCATCTACCAAACCATGATTTTTTTATTTTTAAATAAGAAAAATATTCTTATTTTAAATTTATTTTTTATTAAAAGGTGGCCTATCCAAGTTACCCTAATTTAGAGTAGTTATAAAACTGGTCTTTGGTATGATATCAAATATTAAAAAAAAAATCCTTTACAGATTCAAGATGATCGCATAGTCTCGAAGTAGTATTAATTAATTTTGTTGGGTAAACACAAGAACACTCTAGGCAACTTGAACATTCTAGTAAGACTAAATTGTGAAACTTATGTGTGTAGACTCCAGACACACTCCCATTTTAATAGTTTGTGGATAATATACAATTTCTATATTATCTATTAGTTTTCTTGTTTTCGTAACTCTGTTTCAATCGATATACTATGCCACGGTAGTGGCCTGCCACAGCCAAGCCAAAAAACAAACGAAAACAAGGGCACTAACTGATTTTTTATAATTATCTTATAATTTAGTTACGTGTTTATTAAACATAGTGTGGATATTAACCAATATATTAGACCACTGATACCTAGAGAGGTCTATATTGACCCGAAATAGATCGAATACGACCTACGAGCTACATATATATATCTGTGATATATTTCAGATTTCTAACTCACCTTTTGTTGAATATAATCTTGGACCTGAGATCTCGTATTGAAAAAACATTATCAGTATAATTATTAGAACAAATATTTTTCAGTATAGCATTAGGAATGCGAAATTGACAAATATAATAATTAAAACAAATTTTTATCTTTATCGAAAGTTTAAATATTTGTACAAATATTTCTTTCGGTCTGTTTGGGTGGATTGCCTGAACATTGATGAGAATACGTTCTGTAGTAGCGAAAAAGTAACAAGTGTTTGGAAAGATTCGTCAGTCCTGTTAGGTCCTGGCTAGCTCAGCGGTTAGAGCAGTAGCCCGAGTTGCGAAAGGTCGTGGGTTCGAAGCCCATCTCAGTGTGCCAGGGGTCAAGTGGGTTGTTTAAGCATTTTTCATTAAGAATATTTCTCTGTATTCATATATAATTGAAAAATCGTGTATGGAAAATCGTCATTTTTGTAAATACAATCTTCGAGTTTGGTATTTAAATTAAATAATTATTTTCTAATTTTGTATAACAATGAATAAAGGAGCGTGCCTGCTGCTGACCCTGGCGTCAAGATAATATATTAGAGATATACTGAAGTGTGGCAGAATTTAACTAATCTATATTATATAAGAAAGGTTTTAGGATTTGTTTGTTTGTTTGCATCGAATACGCTCCAAATCAACTGGACCTATTTTAAGTTCTTTCATCTACGACGAGCCACATCATACGCCGGTGATTTAAGCTGTAATTTATGCGGGCGAAGACACTAAAATTGCTAGTTAAGAATAAATTGATAAAACGTAATATCTCAATGAAACTAAAATTAAAAGTTGTAATAACCTGTCTGTTTTATGTTTCACCGACCATTAATATAAAAATATAAACATGGTTGACGAATAAATGAACAATATATATTCGGAGCAACTGTAACATTTATTTGTATAGTTAATGGATATGGATAAAACCATATGTCAATTAAAAACTATTGTTATAAACAAAAGTGAAATGGCAATGACGCGTGCAAGTAACAAGAGCATCAATGGGTTTTATTTAATTTAAAACGTGGTCAATATTCGGCATAATCTGAACATAGACAGTATGACTTCGATGATTACGTCATTCAATATTCGTCGTGTATCTTACTTATCTTATTACAAATTCAGATCCTGTCATTTTCTACATTCGGTATCGAACACGGGACTTTGCTGATAGCGACAGCTTGAAATCGGCGTGCAAATCACACGTCGACGGAGTTCTGACGACTTTCGTGTAAATTTGTAAATGTAACGAATCTATCGTTCACATAGGTCTTATTAATTTTACAAATACTTCTAACTAAGATCTTATCAAGAAGGGGCGAATAAATGACGCGATTTTAAATGCAATGCTACAAATGTTTTATTTATTTGTAACACTATTCCTTGAAAACGAGTTATAAACAGGTTCCGCTGAAATCTGATATTTATAATAAATATCAAAATGTCCGACATCTGATATTTATTCGATATATATAATGCATATAAAAACTACGTGGTTTAATAAATAAAGCAATAAGTTAGTAAAAAACTGGCAACAAAAAATAGAGTTTGATTTATTACAAAATAATTAAAAAATACTGTGCGTGCGAGAATTCCCAGTAACTTATTACTTAGATAATAATAAAGTTTAATACGTGAACATAAGCATTAAATTTTAAGAAAAAAATTAACAGGTCACACATTGCGTTAATATTAAGAGTAAAACCCGATATTTCTAGTGAATAAGATTGCTACTTCGGGCCAATGTTGCTAGTGTCACATCGGGTTGGTTAATTAATATATCCATTGCTATCAGCGAACCCTGGTGATAACACTGCGCAGCAATACTTCTGATACAACACCTGCACTACATTTTATTGGTGACATCCTTGCTTTACATGATTATTTTTTTCAGTATAGACCATTTAATTAATTTATTGATTCAATACACTGCTACTTTTTTGATATTTAATTACCATTGAATTGACATATCATTTCTCAATTATTTTTGTGAATTTGACATACTTTTTAGTATTAATTTTCTATTGCTATATTAAAGTTGCTGGCTGTTGAATTTTCGTAGTTTGTAAGTCAGCATGTAGGATATAAATAACAAAAGGCCTTTACGCCTCTAATTCGTACTTTGTTAGTAGTAGTTGTAGTAGGTTCTAAATTCATCATCATCATCAGCCCTTTAACGTCCCCACTGCAGGGGCTCAGGCCTTCCTTATGGATGGTTAAGTAGGATGGGCCATGACCCTCCACGCTGGCCCAATGCGGATTGGAGGGTATTAACGACTGAAAATGCAGCAGAGACCAACGGCTTAACGTGCCTTCCGAAGCACGGAGTAGCTCGAGATAATAATTTTTTTGATCACCCATCCCGTGACCGACCCTTGCGAAAGTTGCTTAACGACAACGATCGCGGGCCGCGGCGCTTATCCACTACGCCACCGAGCTACTTTGAAAGAGAGGTTAGGGTAGGTTCTAAATTGATTTAGAATATTCATTTAATAAAATTAATTAGTTCAGAATCATACGCGATTTGGACACTAATAGACAATGAGAAATTACCCAAACAGTTATCTGCCGCCTATCTTAATATGAATCACGCACCCGTTTAGTTAATCTGCTAGTCACATGGCCGTGGCACCTTTATTAAGTATGGGTCTTTAAAAACTTATTCATTAACCGATATCTAGGGACCCTAATGAGTTTACTGTAACACTTTGTAATACACTTTGTAATAATGTGTGCCGATAACAACTAATTACTCGTAAAAGTTTGATTCTAAAAATAGTAAGCTTAACTCAATAGTAGACTTCAAAATAATGAGAAATATGCTGTTGGAATTTTAAACGATATGACTTTAATATATAGAGTAAGCGCAATAATAAGGTTAGGTCTCATCTCGACAATTGCATGTCACATGTTGAGAATGAAAATATTGACGAAGAAACAAAATAGTTTCATCGATATCTCAGGGAAACGTTTTTGGGTGTAGCTTTCATCATCACTACCAATGACCTCCCGAAAATCTTGAAAAAATACATTATTATAATTAATGCCAATTTGAAGTTCCAACCTCTGTGCTAGGTATAACCTGCAGCCTCAGTAAAATTTTTAACTATTTCTATTAAAAATTGTAAAATGGATAGAAATTTGTTCACCACCGGTTAAATTTGAAAAAATAAGTTTAAAAATTAAATTATTTTTATTTATAAGCACGGCTAGTAAATAAACATATATTTTTTACTGCTATATATTTCATATAAATTCCAAATCGACGTTGAAGTCCTAACACTACCTAGGAACGAGAAAACACTGTATTATTTTGAAAAGCTACCACAAAAATACAAATTTCCAATTTAAGTACACTAAATAATCATTCTTTTTACTGTTAATAATTTACTTCTTATAAAAAATTGTTAATATTATTGTTATTGCATAAAAATATCCAAAACCGCTAAATACTGACTTACGTGGTGTCAGAACATCAACGGCGAAATATGCTTACCTATTATTACTAAAATACTTAGTTTCCTACTAAATTAACATACTGTTCTCAGGTAATGGCCTTTACAACACATTGCTAGTGAGTACATGCTCCCTGATCCTCCTTGCCATCGGGATGGACCTATTCGGGTTCAGTCTGGTGGTCACCGCGGCCTGCGACCTCAACCTCACTGTCACACAGATGGGAATTCTCACCTCATTACCTTTCATAGGTACTATACAGATAAGGAATTTAGAATAGAAAACCTAAGCATAACAAAATAGTTTGAAACTTAGTAATTTTGCAATCGTCAGATTTTCATTGACGAACAACTTTCTTGCATATAGTCAGCAAATTGGATTTCTAGGCGTATAGAATCTAGTTATGGTCAATCAATATTATTCTTTAATCAAAATGGCGGAAGTAAAATCGTAAAAAATATATTGTGCTAGCTTTAAAGATATGTAATATCATATTATATTTATGTGCATAATTGTCAGCACTTCTAGCAAAATTCGCAAAAACTACCCTCTATCTCTACCCGATTGATTTTGGTGAATTGCTTGACCATTAAGGAAAATACTACCTACCAGTTACAAGTGCTTGAGAAATTCATCAGTTTCGTAAAGGTTTCATATAATTTTATAGTTGGAACGCTTGTCTACATTGTGAAAATTTATGAGCGCGAATCCCGTGTCATGCATCTGACACTGCTCAAGCATTTTTTAATATGAATAAAGCATTGTGGCTGCAAGGTTTATCAAATATAATGTTCTGCTATTTTCAGGGATCCTTCTGGTGTCATATATATGGGGCTACGTGTCTGACACGAAGGGTCGCAAATTCTCGCTCGTAGTGAGCATGCAGGTCAGCTTCGTGTTGTCCACATTGTGCAGCATCTGCCCAACCTGGCATATCCTGGGGCTCGTCAAATTCATCTCTGTATGTTTGTGAGTATTTTATTAACAATAATTTGCGTATATGTGAGCAACCAAATGTAATTAAATATACCGGCAGATGAATAAATGTTGTGTAGATTGATAATAGTAATGATTTCCAATAGAAATTAAAATCAGTCAAAGTAACAATTTTATGTACGTATTCTAAGGAGGCTTCTTAGGTGGATAATAAGACGTAAACGAGGTCATTTACTCTGCAATTCTTTTGCAAAAAAAAACTCTCCGACTCTGAAACCACGCTAGTCTGGACTTGTCAGGCTATGATTTGTTGTTCTGTAATGATGTCGTAGTTTTGAAATCTTTAACAGAATTCAATAAATTCGTTTATTTTTTTTTTTCAATTAAATTAACCAGAAGCTTTCAATGGCATTTGCAGCTTTATGTACGTGTGGTTAAGTGAATTTGAAGGTAATCACCTCCGTGAATCGTCATGACGCATATCGATGCCTGAAGATAGACTTGTGATCACGACTTAACAAATAACTTGCGACAAAGACACGAGATTTCATGAGACTTGTGAGTCAACATTTAGAACACTAAAATGAACGTGTAGAGTTTATATCTCATTATTTTTTATTCCGAGGTGGGTGTTTTGTGCTTCTTAGGCAGAACTATAGATGTATCTTAAATTTATCATAGCATCATCATAAGTATATTCTCATGGAGACTGTCCTACTCATAGTCTAGTACTGTTGTTCTGACCAATGTCAACAAGTCCGTACATAATATACTATATATTGGTTATCCAGAATTGTTCTATTTTCTTTGTAACGAGTCTATATATTGGTAACCGAGTGTCAGGCGTCTAATGATGTTTGCGTTCAGCACAGCAAACAGTTTATTTGAAACGTGCACGATTGAATACATGTATACATAGCCTGTTTCTTGTTATTAACTTTCTAGTATTTCATCTGTGTATTATTGGATTTAGGTGGCGCAAATTAGCAATGTATATCTCATAGTCACTTTTAGCAATGTTTGTGTGCCGGATTATGACTCAACATACTCTTTATTTTAGAAAAATTTCAGTCAATGTAAAATAAAAGGTATGTCTCCTAGATAAACCGTTTGTTTGTATAACCACTTTTTGGAAATGTGCACAAAAACAACAAAGGAGAGGTATAAGTCGGGAACAATAATTGTTGAGAATTAGTGATCTCAGTTCAATTCACGTCACGCAGTGCTAGGTACGGAGTGGATTAGCAGAAATTTGGTGATGTAGAACTGGTCGCATTATATTCGATCCCCAACAGTTTATGTTCAGATAATTATATAATAGTATTGGTCGTTGATTATGTACATTCAATTTAATTTTATTGATCTTTAGTGTTAAGAAAATTGACAGGATTTTCCGGTTAGCCACCTCAATGCTTAACAAACATTCATTCATTTTAATTATTTCTCTATGTGTTTTTGATATCGCTAATATTCCAACTAACCGTTTTTTTTTCAGTTCATGTGCAGCCAATTCCGCTTCTTATACATTAGTGGGCGAATCCTGTAATCTAAAAATGAGGAGCAAGTACATGCTTCTGATGACCTGTCTACTGCTGCTATCACCTGCTGCTGCTGGAGGTGAAATATTTAAGTCATTCTCATAATTTTACTATCAACGTACATAAAGAAAATGAATCGAGGGGAAGGGTAAATTTCAAAACGATAAGCGATTTCCATAATCAAAATTTGAAGCGCTTTTGCACTGTGCCTAAATCATTAGCTTGATAGAAAGTGAAAAGGTAAATTTCTTATGGGTTTTACTGTAATCTTTGTGTAAAAAAAATACTGTGTCGTTTTTCAATATTTTAGACCTAATAGTTTTTGCTAAAATATAATAAATTTCTAATTAAGTAAATAAAAAAAGTATTTTAAATTTTCGCAACAAGCAAAATTTTTTTATTCTACTTTACCAATTTACTACTCAAACCTCAAACTGTGACAGTCAAGTATCGCTTAGAAATCCTTATTCATCGTTGCAGTGGTAACATACCCAATATTGAAGTTAAAATTTGAATCTGAGATGTGGTTTGGAGTAACGTTCACCCCATGGCGGCTGCTCATCATTGCCCTGGCTTTCCCATCTGGCATCGGAGCCGTGGCCATCTGTTTCTTCCACGAGTCCCCAATATTCCTGGCTAACAGTGGGAAGAAAGAGGAAGCTTTGGAAGTTCTGAAGTCTATATATACAATAAACCATAGAGGATCTAAAGAAGAATATGAGGTATGTGTGGCATTTTTTCTTACCTGTTTATAGTATAAATTCAATATATCTGTTAGGCTTTTACTTCCTAAGAAGCCACGCCATAGATTTATCTGCTGATATTGTAGTTTTCACTGCAGATATGAAACTTCCCGAACAAATTTCATCAGCATCACCATCACCAGCTTATTAATATCTTATTAGAATAAAAATTGCATTACTCATGTTGAATTACACTAGGTTGCTAATTTTTATATTAACAAGTGATAACTTGAATTATATTACAACATGGCATGTAAATTTTTATTTCACTTCCATAGAAACGTAGAAGTACGCTGTATTTTGTAATAGGGTTGAATTCACTTACCGAAGTTGAATTAGAATTTGAAATTTCTGAACAATATGAAACTAATTACTTACAAACTAATACCGGCTAATATTCAGACTGCGTCGTGAAGATCAGCACCGGTAAAGAGTTTCGTAAAACAATTTTGATTATGATAAAGGCATGTGGTGCTTGCAGGTGAAAACGTTGACGCTGAAGGATCAGCCTAACAAAAAGCTATCGTTGCCAAGAGCCCTGTACGAGCAAAGTGCTGCCCTGTTCAGACCCCCATTACTCTGGAGGACCTTGCAGTTGTTCTACATCGTTGGCGTCGTGTACATCACGTGAGAACAGGTTTTATATTTATTAAGATAGCAATTGAAAGCCCAAAAGTATACGTATTACTCAGACAGTGTAAAGACCGATGAATATGAAGACAATAGACCGGTAAGTGTTATTATTATAGATAGTTAAGGGGATAAAGATATTGACTGTGAAATTTTTTTTTATGAAATACGATCATTGATATTGCGTCGCTGAGATATGAGTTGGTTGCCTAGTACCATAGTACAGATTGCATTAATTTGGGATATCAGTTGTGGATCATCTTACCATTTATACAATAAATTTCTGGTTATTTTTAAACATGAATTATCATTGAGAATATTTTTCAATACAACATTGTGAACGTAAAATTGATCAAATATAATGAATTATCACTTTCACCTATTTGGTTTCCAGCATTTTTACGAACTTGTTAAAAGAAACCATATATCTAAAATGGTGACTTTGTTAGCAGGATAAAAATGGCAACGAACTTGAAATGAGAAGTTCTTAAATAGCCTTAATCAAATAAGAAAAATTTTAATACTGAAAATTCATTTTCTGTCTTTACTTATTACTTACCTTTATTCTTATTGATATAATCTAACATACAAATATACCAGAGTAGTTAAGTAAATTAGTTACTATATATCTTCAACATAACCAACATAACCCACTAGCAAGAAATTATACATATAACCTTATAATCCCAAAAAATAGTCGAAAAATAATTTCTATAAAATTATCTTAATAAATAATCTGAATCCATTCTGAGGAAGAATTTTTAATTAATTTTCAGAAATAACTCATTCCTAGTGTGGTTGGCACACGTAATGAACCTCCTGAGGCTGGCGTTGGAAACTTCTGCTACTGGAAACATATGTGACCTGATCAACCACGAAATGGCATTCAAAGCGAGTCATTCCAATACAACTGTTGTAAGTAATGAACCTGCTACTCAATAGAAACTATCATCATATATCAGCTTTCGTATGCTTTTTTTTTGCAAAACTTAGAATGATCAACGAGCTTACTTGAGATTTTAAATGACACTGCATTTTTACGTAAGAAGGTTTTATACATGTTTATCTTCAACTTGCTATCGAGTTAATATAAACGTACATTAATCCTCAATGAACGCACCGAATTAGATAAAAGAAATTTGAGAATTGTTTGTATGACAACAAACTTATTATGTTACAAGGTGTAAAGAAAATTCGTTAACATTGTAGCACTCCTGATACACTTAAAATAACACAGTTATTTATTGTTTTCTTCTTTTTCACAGCCGCATGTCTGCGTTGGGAACATAGAAGAGAACGTGGTGTTAGCTTTAATCGGCTCCCAAAGTATCTTCGCGATCCTGAACTTCGTGCTCTCATACCTGTCACATCGACGGAAAGCTGTGCTAATTTCAATCTTATGTCTATCATCATTGAGCGGGACTTTGCTCAACTTGACACCGGAGCCTATATCTAGTGTGTTCTTCTTCATGATATTTACGTGCACTTGCCTCTGTATGGGCATTTTAGCGTCGTTCTTTGTCGATTTATATCCACCATCGTACAGGTGAGAATCTTTTAATGTTTTATTAAGTGCATATACTCTTATTAGAAATATTATCCCGCAAAATCATTAAAACTATTGAAAAGACTAGGGACTTCTATTTTTCAATGACGTAGATTATTTTTCATCACTTAGGACACTAACTAACACAAAAATTTATCCAGAAAATTTCTGATAATGTTTCATCTCTAAATTTAATAGCTTTGGCATGTAACGTTGTTTAAAACTGTGCTTGTCGACATTTCATTAAAACTTTCCTATCTGCAATTTTCAACTACAAAAACCATGTTAATCCTTAGCTTTCTTTCGATTTGAAACGACAAACAAACAAACTTGTTTATTTGATTTCAAACTTTTATTGGATGGCAGCTTATTTTTGCAGCTTTTCTTGCTGCTGTACCGTGTTATTTGCGTATTTTCAGGGGAATGGTGGCGTGTCTCAGTATAATGGTTGGCAGAGGCAGCACATTCGTCGGCATCAACGTGGTTGGTAATCTGCTGTTTCATCACTGCCAGCTCACATTCTACATGTGGACCTTACTGGTGCTAAGTAAGTTTACTATTTTAATATTCAAGTGTAAAGTTTCGAGCGACTGCGTAGAACTTTTGGCTACACTTGACGCAAGGACACCTATCTCATTATATCATACTCAGAATAATCGACAATAAGCGAAGACTTCCAGACCCCTAATAGTCATGTCATATCTGTTTAAAGTCACTTTAAACACTTATGACATGACTATTAGGGGTCTAGATGGAGCGTTTACAATATTTCTATGACAATTGGACATATACCAAAACATCTTTCAACTCTTAATATCCAGTTCGGTGGGAGACATTTTCCATTTAGTCTCCCTAATCATTAACAACATTTTTTATCATCATCATCATCAAACTATTGCTACCACGGCTGGAGCACATTATGAATGGAACCAATTAGAGAGATCAGGTCATTACCTACTACTAAATTCCAATGGGAATAACTTTCAATGATTATCTTTCGCCAGATTTGTAGTAAACAGTTTTTTTCAGCGTCAAATGTATTCACACAGTAGTTGGCAAAGAGTAAAGTAATAGTGATTATATTAAGAATTTCATATCTTTTGAATTTATAATTAGATATAGTGTAATTTTATAAAATATTACATTGATTCTGTATTACATGTAAGAAGGAAGGAAATCATTTATTTCCAAACAACAAAATATCCGAAAAAATTTGTCTCTCTACTTAATGTACTAGTGCTGCCATCTATCATGATCCATCTACATTCCACCAACGATGAGTTTTGCGTAATGTTCACTATTGGTGGATAATGACTGCAGATGCAGCTTGAACCAATGTTTTATCATGGCTTGACAGTCGCTACCCCATACCGAAAGCGCTTACAACTACGCTATGCGAATTTCTATCATTTTGTCCCAATCTTATATAAAATTAATCTTATTCCGCAGGTAGCGTTGTATTGGCATGGTTCCTGCCGCCAGACAAAGTAAAATTGAAGCCTACCGCAGTTTAAATGCCATACATTGTCAATATGAAAAATGTCTGTGATTTTATTATATTTGTGAAAGTAGCTAACTAGCTTTTGATGCTATAATTGTATAGAGTAAGTAATCTACGAGTGATCTACTTCTCGTGTATTATCTTTATATATCTCGTGCCGGCCAGACCTAGCATATCTTACCTTTCTAGGATTTCGTTGTTTGGACAAATTTAAACATGCTGAAGAAAACTAAAGAAGAAGGTAGTAAAGCGCAGGCCGCTGAAATGTAGTGGCTGGTTCCACTTAATGTGATATTAACTGAGGTTAGGGCAAGTTGTGCCGTATGAAATTTTGTTTTATTCTAAATTTAACTAACTCTGACCGCCCCTAATATAAATATACTGACCATCTGTGTAGTTACTCAGTGTCTATCAATAGATCTATCGAAAATTTTGACATTCTTCATTAGTATCAATAATTTCAAAATACTGAGTCGCAACAACACTACCACAATACCTTTGTGAGATATTACTATGGGCTTTTTTATTAAACATCACTTGTGGTTCTGACATGCTCACCCTCAGTCTGATTGCTAAAATTGATTGAAAGGTTCTAAAGTATACTGTGTGTAATATCTGTGGTAGGGATACCATCAGTCCTTATACGTCCCCACTGCAGGGCTTAGGCCTCCCTAATGTATGGTTAAGGATGAAATGAGATTTATCTTGAAGATAATGCTTATTAAAATGACTATACCCATGTAGTATTCTGTGCTTTAGTGGCCCAAGAGGGATTCGGGATTTATTTGGGTGGATTGCATGAACTTTGGTGAAATACGCTAACTAGTAGCGAAAGTAAAGCATTTTTCTTTAAGATATATATCAGTATAGGAATATGAATGAAAAATTGATCAAATAAAACAATTAAACGAGATGAGGCGGTCGCATTATATATATAGGGCAGAGAATGTATAAAATTATTTTGCAATTCTATTTGGAATCCTCATTAATTCCTTTGCAAACAGCTTCTTGAATATTGGTTGCTCTTCTCTTATACGTATCTTGCAATTTTATGATATAATAAGGCCTTTCTAGTATTCAGACTACGCAGAAATAAAAATAATTATTATTAATGGGATCAATTTATTAATAATTATTTTTGAAAATGTCATGTCTCAAGCAATTTCAAGTACGTTTTCCTAAGATTATTAAATGAATAATGTATAATATATTTAAATGAGTTTAGCTATTTTGTTATTAATAATTTAGTGTAATACAAAGCCTCTTGATACTTGTGATGTTATTATTTCATTACTGATAGAATAAAAGACATATCACCATTATTTATGTACCTACATATTGTAAGGGTCTTCGGGTAGGTCTCAGACGAAACAGATTGTCCCCCCTATCCTTTATATGTTATATTTAAACGACAAAATTGGGTTTAACTCCTTAATTAATCCATAAAGGAACCAAATTGGCGATTTGGGAACAAATAAACAATTTTTTTTTTTTTTCATTGAAAGCTTTATTACAAATGAGTACTTAATTGCACTTTATTTGCCTAATTCTAAACAAATACAAAAAAATAATTGATATATGTATACTTATCTAAAATATTGACTTACAGATAATTAAATTTGCTATAGATAATTAACATCACAGTTCGGATGATATTTTATATCAAAAATAAATTATTATATATTTTTAGTCTTTACTTTAAAACAGTCCTGTGTATGTAAATGGCCATTTTATAATAAATAGATTTTATTTAATTAAATATTTTCTTTTGTATCTTTTTTTAATATGTACAGACGTCACATGGTAAAATTTCATCGATAAATTTTAATTGAAATTTAAGTGAAGTTGAAAATTGGTTGTAATTCCAACTTTTGTAGTACTTCATCTGATGTGCTGTATGTACATTACATTAAGTACTTTTCTCGTACTTAAAAACGAACAGTAAATATTTGTTTATGGATTTTTTTATTAAGGAACTTATGTATTTTTATGTAATAAAAAATAGCATTCAATAAAGGCACAATTTCATTACAGTCTAATAAATAAATAAATTTAATTAAATAAAGTTTCTAACTTCTGTTTATAACAAGTTAAACAGTATGGCGACATTCATTTACGCCTAATTTGATTTATTTAGGAAGTCGACCACGTCTTATTTTTTTATCTTCTCCAGGAGAGTTAGATCACAAAAACCGCAGTGTTTATTTTTATGAGAAAACTAGTGGCCGCCAGCGACTTCGTCCGCATTTTCCATTATTTCTTCGCTCCTAATAGTTGCAGCGAAATGTTATATAGCCTAAAGCCTTCCTCGATAAATGGACTATTCAACACAAAAACAATTTTTCAATGCGAACCAGTAGTTCTTGAGATTAGCGCATTCAAACAAACAAACAAACTCTTCAGCTTTATAATTAGTAAAGATAATATTAATAACACTTAGCTCGTGTTTATCTTTATATTTCGAAATCGTTAGATGGCATTGTTCTTGTTTTATTGACATATTTAATCTTCTACTCGATGTATCTGTTTTGTGCATAGAGATAAGGTTTTGTATACATATCACAATGACGTCATGGATAAGGCGGAGAGCGTTTTCGCGGGTATAAAAATGTTAAAATTTAAATTTTATTTTAAGGTAATAAAACGTGCTTATTTTTCTGAAATAGTGTTATGGCTTTTTGAGATTAAAATAAACAGTTACAAGTATTATTTCAAACAGAGTAGAATACAATATTCCTTACAATTCCAATTACATACGAGGGTAAAATAGTCACACGTAATAAATGAATGATACCTATGGAAACTCTATTAATTAATTGTTTAAGGCTATAAACTCATCAAGGAATTTCGTAAGAGCACAGATGAACTCGTGACAATAAATTCTTTGTCTTTTTGTTTGACCGTGCTTTGCGAAAAGACAGCGGCGACGAGTACCTGATGCAAGCTTCATGCGTTATTAGCCTTAAACGTTTGATTAGTAATATTCAAAAATTTAAACAGACTCTTTCATTTCAACACTTAAAATCGATATGTAGCCTACATATCGATTTTATTTATTTTCAATGTTACTTTATTTTTTATAATTTAAGTAATTAAAAGATGTACAAAGGAAGAAATTTCTTGTCGATAGAAATATAAGAAATTCTTACCTTGGAATCTTTTTATGCACCATTTAAACACTTCGCCCAGATTCGGTGGAGAAATACCATTGAAAAGATCATCCATTTCAAATAGAAAAATACATATAATTTACTAGGACAGTCTTCCATCACTAATGCATAGGATTAGTAATGTTTTTTTTCTACTAGTCATAGACATAAGTGTTATGTTCAAGATTTACACGCCTGTTCATGATACCATCAAAAGTACTAGCGGTGTCAGAAGAAATCACAATAGGAGAATTAACTCCCATAAAACTTACTATAGAACATAGCATAACTTAAATAAAAGGAATGGAATAGTCACTTGTATACAATTATCAGTCTGATAAGAGAAATTATAAATGAAACAACTTTTAAAGCGTTTCATCGCATTTGTATTTAGTTTCGAACCTCTTACTAACAACAAACGCAATGAAACCGTTTAAAACCTGTTTCATTTATGGATAGTGCGCGTGAAAATATGAGTAATCAATAAGAGAAATTATAGTGCACTTTAATCCTCATAGAATACGCCTCAGAAGGTGAAAGTAACTAGTTTTAGAATTATTTATTTGAAAACATATGAACCCACATTACTACCAGACGGTACGTCAGAATCACGTTCCCATTATCTTTCATTTAAATGCGAGGTGTAAAGACAATATGTTTTGTTCGCTTCCTTCTCCCCAATTAATCTGGAAATAGTTTACATTCTGTTTTTATGACCATCTTATTAGCCAAATCACAATTTTAATATCTACGTGTATCCTTTAATGTTATTGACGCCGTTATATAACAAGATTTGCTTTAAGCAATCATCTTTCTAAATAGTATAATTTTTAAATTCTTAAGAACACGAGTTCATCTTACGCGAACATATTAAGCACCTGCAATCTGAATGCAGGAGCAGAATCCGCATGCCGGGAACTTAAGCCTCAATTCAAGCGTGGATGATTGTTGTAGATACTTAACAAAGTTACATATGAGTAGATATATATCTGTCTAGAGCAGCAGTCTTTGGGTTCTCTTGATCTTCCTCAGTTTCAACTGGCGGCTTGTTATCGTCAAGTTTGATCATCATGATACCACCCACAGATACTGGAGACAAAATAAATTAATTTATAGTTGAGAAGAATATGAATAATAAATTAATTACATTTACTATAGATCTGGTGCTCGCAAGAGATTACACACCTATATTCTGTTCTTAGAATAGATGAAATAACGGACGATAACACATAATATTATGTGAGTATTGAATCTAAACCATCGTATCGCTCTTCATAGAACTGTGTATCGTTTCCGCAAAGTACTGCGTTTTATGGTACGGCATGATTTATATTCATCGTCCGATCTCGTGCAACAAAACGCAGTCTTCTTCACAACAGCAAGTTTTTTCTGCCACTCGATAACTAGTGCCTATTTCGCGTGCGAGCCTTTAGTCTTACCATCCCAATTCTCTTCTGAACTATTGCAGTCTCTTAGTGTCCAGTAGTGTCTTTAGACTGCTCAGTGTCAGTCCATTGTTCTACAACGCCTCTGCAGTGAAGCAGAACGTGAGCATAGAGAGAACAAATCCATTACATCGATTAGTACGATATAGAGTTCTGTGAATTACGATGCGTATATTTAACTTTCAAAATTCACATTATACTTTGGGTCATTGTCAATTTTTTGCCTGTCTTAAGAATATACTATTCTTATGCAATTTCCCATGCCGCCGGATTTTTAATAGTCGGTCGAATGATGTTACTGGCCAGCGTATCATCACTTTGCTTTGGACGAGATGGACGTATTCAGTGCGGTGTGTTAAATTATCAAAATTGTCAATCTTACTGGTAAGCAACGCTGCAACAGCGATGAACGGCGCGGGGCAAGAGTAGTCCAATAGCGCGCCCACAGCGAGGTTCGAAGCGACGCCCCCAGCGCGGCCCCACCACGCGCCCCAACATACACCAAGACCACTGCAATATCAATCCAACAATATCTTTTCTGTATACATTATGATCTAAGGCCAAAAAACAAATAGATGCCTCTGATATAATTTTGTTTTACATAAAATCTTTGATGGTATGCTCATCGATTAAATCGATTTTATTCATTAAAAGAACTGTCCACCGGGACCTCCAGATCATCCAGGAGTCAACCAGAGGAGAACATCCAGTACATTTTAACACTATTCTGAGTTTCTTGTATCAAAGTCAAGACAAAATACATTTGTTTTTATTTCAGTTGTAACATATTATAATAGCTATTTGCATGATTTACTAAATCTGCCATTTCGAATTACAAAAAAAATACAATTAGATCATATTTTACTGAAACCCATTAAAAATCTTTCAAAATAACAGCACAATTACCTCAGTTTCGCTGGCAGCGCATGCAGCAGTAGCCTGATGAGCAGCACATTACCGTTCAGCGACGCTGCATTCAACGCTGCAGCTGCTGCCACCGCTATCTGGTATTAAATCAATCTCGTAAGTTGTCAATCCCAAACAGGTTGGACAATACAAAGCAAATATATATATTTTTAAAGATATCGTTGGTCCTTGACCAATGGATGTAAAAATTATAAATTCGGTCAAGATCCTGCTTTGGAAGCTTCGATCAACAATCTCTATCCGGGCGAAAGCACTCGCCCAGATTGCTAAAGGTTCGAGTGGCAAATCAAATTAACACAAAATATTTTGAACTTTGCGGAAAAGATGATTTTCTTATTTTAAAATTGTGGTTCTTTTTGGTATTTCATTGTAATACACAAATGGGATTGCTGTTTCATTTGATAAAACTGTGATTATTATAAATTAATATACGTATAGCTTTGCCTACAGGTTGTTATTTCCTTAGTACACCTCTGAACCTGATGATAAGGCTTTGTGTAACTCAGATAGAGAAAGGTCTAAGGTTAAGAATAAATTACCTTGTTCGACGATGCGCACGAACACGCGCAAGCTGCTAAGCAGGCGCACGCTAGCGCGCACGCGAGCGCACACGCCGCGGCCGCTCTCCGCACCCCCCGCCCCCCGCCGTGAGCGCACAGCAGCGCGCACGCTGCGTTGCCGAGCACGCAACATGCGCCTACTATAAGACCTGATGTAAACACCTGTTGAAAATACTATATTCAAGAAAATGACTTACTTTTTGTCACTCTAACTTATTCTTCTCAAACATCAAAAAAGTTCAAGATATGTTACAAAGAAATAAGAATCATCATCAAGAAGAATTTACTCACATCATCATCCATAAAATCATCGCACTTCTCCTCTCCATTAGCGGATTCGTAAGTATCAAAATTACTATCATTGAACCGCCCCTCCTGTGGGAACATCTTGGTGTACTCCTGCCAGGCGCTATCGTTTACCAGCCTAGCGTTTTCTGGCAACGCTATCTGTCTTCCAAACTTGCAATCCTTTCCTTGCATACGAAGAAGAAGCTCGGGAATCCATAAGTTTAAACCAAACCCTCTAAAAATAAATCTCTTTTTGTTAAATAGTAATTACTAAATTAATTTATGTGTAAAAAGTGGAAATTAACTAGTAAAGGCATTTAAATTCTGCCATTAATACAATAAAACTCATAGGAATCTCCTAGAAACTCATAAAAAGTGCCCTGATCGCACACATGTCTAACAAGCATATGCAAAATAAAAATAACCAATACTTGAAAGAAAATTTAAAGCCTAGTGATAAAATAATTCACTTACGCTGCCATGTTAGCGAAGAACACGAACAGTATGATGCTTGATTTAACTGCGTAACTCTTGGAAACGAAAACTTTTAGGTCTTTCAGAACTCCCAGGAACAAAACCTTAGACCGGCTCTCATCGGTGCCGAGTAATTTGTCTATGAAAATATCGTTCTGAATGATCTTTTTAATCTGTTGAATGTACATAAAAGAAATAAAATAAAATCAAATTGGGCTAATGCTAGTTGCACAAAATCTTGTGCCATCCCATTTTTATTTTGCGAAGACTCACCTTAAACTCCGCTCCTTTTCCATTATTTTTTCTATGTATGTTCGTGAGCAGTTTCAAAGCTTTATCGCCTCTATTTGTATCTGCTAATAATCTAGGACTCTCCGGTAAAGTTAACATCCACAAACCGCTCACAAACCCTGGTAAACTTCCCAAAGCAAGGTACAGACGCCAGGATGCCACTGGCAAAACTGTGTGGAAGTCGACCGTTTTAAATGGGATGACAAGCCATGCGATTGCTGAAAGAGGTTCAATGACTTTGAGACAGGTTCATTTGTAATATAATTTAATAATTAATATTAGCAAACTTCTTATACACAAATAATTTCAACCATAAACTTTTCGTGCCTATAAACCATCATCAGTCCTATTTCAATGTTGCAACTTCTACTTCAAAACCAAATTCAGTAAAAAACTGACCTTTGTTTTACTGAGTTCGCTCAATTCCCAAAATATGGCGGATTATTAATCTATCGTCAACCACATTTCCTCATGCAACTTTTAATTATTTAAGCAACTGGAAAATTATACGATTTCTTTCATCGTTAAATTAGGCAATAAAAGTACTTTAAAAAATCACACTGTTACTATATCATCATTTGGTATCCTAAGAGAAGTACATTACCTGGTAGTACCAGCCATGCTGCAACGAAACACATTCCAGTGATATTCAAATAAAACTGTCGCTTTTTGACCCCAACCAGGTCAGAAAGAAATGTAAAAACCAGCGTCGATGGACCTCCTGAAACAGCACCAATGTAAAAGTACTTCATGAGGATTTAGTTCATAAAAATACAGTTATGTATACAGTTCATCTAGTTATGAAAACTTCGCGTTAATTTATTCTAATAAAACAACTGGCCATTATTACCAAAATCACTAAATAAAAAACCTCATGCACTACTCATTATATCAGCAATGTCACGCGAAAATAACGACGAATTTTGCAGATTTTCCTAAAATTAACTTTTATAATAGTGCATAGTATTTATACATTACATCCTAATTGAAAGGGGCATGAAAATGACGATTTTAACAATATCATAAATATCTGTGTATTTTAAAAACAAAAACGTATGATTTTGTGGATAAAATATAATCAAATTAATAGTAACACAATTTGGTATTGAAGATTACCTACTTACCATTCGTACGTAATCTATAACCGCTTATTATATGCAATATTATTCTGATAATATATTTACCATGTCTGTTCATTGATTTAATAGATAACCGAAACGAATCGAATCGGGAGATAGCATTACCTATCAAGAATCCATTCATACTCCTCGCAGCCAGCAGCAGTCTGTAATCATTGACGGTACTCTGCGCCAGCATGATCATTGCATCTAGGAGTAATGTTAAGCTGAGAATTTTTCGCCTGCCGAATACATCACCAACAATACCCCAGAAGAAAGCACTCGCTACACCACCTGCAATATAACATCACACAATTATACGATTAATAAATACTAAAATAAGTATTATGAATAATATGTACCATTAGTGAATGTTAAATTACCGATACGATAAAGTACTCGACATGAACATATTAAGAGGAAACCTATTGAAGATATTGTACCGTTATCATTCTCAAATATCGTCTAACATAAGGTAGGTAAATATAAAATTACATTAATTTAATGTTTCATTTAAAAATCTTTACAAATTGAGTATAATAATGATGATGAAACATCTCACAAACCTGCGAAATCGGCTCTCATGTTAGAGAATATACTAATATATAATATTTTCACGCACACTATCCATAAATAAAACAACTTTTAAGCGATTTATTCGCGTTTGTATTTTTCTTTTACTGATGTTTCGGACCCTTTGCAGGTTCCGTGTTGTAAATAGAATGAACCCTCAAGTTACAAGTTCAAAGATTTAAATTCTTCTGAGCCGATTGTGTGTCATTCTATTCGTCATTAATAGTACACACTCGGTTTCTGAATTGAGAATCTGCAGTTACGTCTCAAACCGTACTTAAACCATTATAACATCATTTAAACAGGTTTTCGATTCGTTAAAACTAAGACATTTTCCATATGAAACGTTAAAAATCTTAACTTATTGTGAATAATCAGTTGAGATCTTATGCTTTTCTTAATTTAGAAACCGGCCGTAAGTCTTACCACTCATAAACGCCATGTTGATTAGACCCGCCTGGTAGGTGGTCAGCTGCAAATCACACTTGGCCGCTGGTAGCACATATGACATAACGCAGTTTTGTACTCCTGTTGTGAAGAATGCGCACGCGCATGCTCCGAGCGCGTTTCGGCTGAATCTGCCATAGCCTGCGTCACGTAAAATTAAAAAATAATTCAATTAAGTACATAGGTAGAACAGCAACTGTTATGCCAAACACATCCTTATATGAAATCTGGAATAATTTATTAATGTTTTTGCTTAAAGTTTTGAATAAATTGGCTGGAGTACGGCGATGGTTTTAAAAATATCAGAAAAATCATGCCAGCTGATAGGAAACTGATGCATTTTCATTGGTAGATAACCTTATCTACAAACAAACCCTTGTAATTTTATGTAGGTTGCGGGACCATATTATAACGCATGCTATAGCGCTCGCATTCGGGGAGTTATTGAACTTGTAATAAAGACCCGCATAGTAGAGTAATAATTAATGAATATTTAACAGATACATTTAATTAACTAAATAAACAATATCAATAATTTAACTATGTAAAATATTATAAAAACAATTAATATTTAAACATAGTATCAACCTATATTTGGGATTTTAGAATTCAATTACATATGAACGTAGATTATATATGTTTTTTTTATAAATATGCGTCCTCTACTCTCCTAATTGTCGTGCCCGACGGGGTCCATGATGATACATTTCCTCTTTGTAACACCTTTGTTATACATAATAGAGTGCAATAAAGTTGAAATTGAAATAGAGAGAGATATTTTTATACCGTCTCCAACGAGAACATTATTAATGCCTGCGGCTGCAAGAGTATTACGATGCGGCTGCACTATTGACCGTTAGTTTTTATTAGTCGTTATACCAACCGACCAACTTATCGATAAATTAAAATAAGTTTTATTATAATCTGTTCATAAGGCAAACAAAAAAATATATACAATGACCTAATGTGTTATGTGACTATGGAAAGCAAACCATACTTATCGCTATCCATAGAACCCTGTATGCGATGTACTGCGTTTTATTGTACGGGGTGGGGTCATCAACTTATAACATCTAAAGTACAATAAAACGTAATACTTTGCGGAAACTATACAGTTCTATATGCGATATGTATTCAATACTCATATAATACTTTGGGCTATTATCTATGTTTTGGCCTACCATATGAAGAAAGTTGAAAAATAAATTTTGATACGATACTAATATCTTCTACCATATACTTGCACACACTAAGAACAACAAGCAAGAAAGCAAGAGAACTAAAAACAATTTGACGTGGCAAATAAACAAACGGTATTGTAGATTTAAAATAATATATCTCTATAATTATATTATCGACTTTACAGGTTATAAAATGGTGCCTACTTCTCGACACGTTGGAGAAATTGTTTCACTAACTGAGGGTTGTTTATAGCCATTAATTTATTGCTCTCGTAATTGTTTGTTAGTAGTGCCATAACAGGCAATGAAATGCGAAATTGCTCAAATATAATAAATCTATCTATTCTTGCATTAGACATAATCTGAATCTCGGAAACGGCTTCAACAATTTTTATAAAATTTAATATTCAGGGGACTTCGGGGGCGATAAATCGATCTAGCTAAGTAGCATTTACCAACGTACTGCATAATAATTTCAATATAAATTAACTAACATTGGTCTTAGTTTGAGAGGTATTTTATCGCAAATTAGGTCTACGTAAGAACAATAGTGTGTTTTCGATTGATACACCACTATTATATAAGCAGTAATGTTTATACATTCATTGCTGTACAATAATATTGTACAGTCTAAAGTGTAAACTATACTAGATTATTATTGTAATGTATCGGTTTTTATTGTACCCCTTGAGCAAGAATTTATTAATTATAATTATTTATTCTGTGGTAATATTTGCATATTTCGAGTATTCCAACTACTTTTCTATAAAAAATTGAAATAAAAATAAGCTTCTGCGATCGAATTTATTTCTATTAAAACTATTGTTCAATAAATACATACTATTTTCAACGGAACAGAAATCTGTGCTTATTTCTAAAGAATCGCTGTTAACTTATTCGTAGCCGCCAACACCAAGCATCGAGAGAGGACAATATATATGAACTCCAAGTACTCTCCAACTACTACACTAGGACTTGCCAACCACTACACTAGAACTTGCCAACCACTACACTAGGACTTGCCTTTAGAGAGATCAAAGTGTAGTAAGCCATAGTTGACCTAGCTGATACAACCTTATGTGGACAACGCTCGCGTGAGGGAAGGTTTCCGGGATCTAGCTTGCAAGGCGCAGAGCACAATCCTAATTCAACTACCCTATACCTAAAGTTATTCGGTCTTATTATAACACGAGGACTAAAGTCGGTTTATGATTTAAACTATTAACCGCCTAAAGCAAATTGATAATGACTTATTTTGGTCGGTTAATTGTTTGAACCAAAGTCTAAGCTATTGTGATAGATTAGACTTTGGTTCAAACTATATCTCGAACTTCACGCTACATCTATTTGACATGTATAACGATTGCGAGCACGACGTCTTTGTTTTTAGTTATTTAATGAACTATATCGTTAATTTGACTATAATTGTAATTATCCAAGGCAAGCGTTTAACGCAAATAATACTTTAAGTTCAGAATGATTGCTAAAAATGGGATTTCTATCATGTACTTTATATTTTATGAGTAAAAAACCGGCAAGACCCTCGGCAAGGGCTGCTTTTTTCTCCCTGTTTTATTTTACACAGAATTCTTCATATAAATACACATATCTTCACAATAATGTTTTATTAATAACAAACGCATACATCACGCACGCATCTAAGAGGAAAGTTTATATATTTTGATGATTTCAGCACGTGAACATGTGTGATGTGAATTTTATGTCACGTAAATAACGTGATACATACTAGGTACACCTAGATCATCGATAACGATAAGTTATATTGATAATTGTTACTACCTACACGCTTTCATAAAATAATTCTAACAATAAATTGAATGCAAAATGCAAACAATTTTGATTTCGGCAATTACGTCATCATCATCATCATCAGCCCTTTTACGTCCCCACTGCAGGGGCTCAGGTCTTCCTTATGGATGGTTAAGGAGGATGGGCCAAGACCCTTCACGCTGGCCCAATGGGGATTGGAGGGTATTAACGACTGCAAATGCAGCCGGCACCAACGGCTTAACGTGCTTTCCGAAGCACGGAGTAGCTCGAGATAATAATTTTTTGGTCACCCATGCCGTAACCGACCTTTGCGAAAGTTGCTTAACGACAACGATCGCGGGCCGTGGCGCTTATCCACTACGCCACCGAGCTACACAATTTCGACTGTGTAGAACGCTATATTTGTCTCATGAAACATTAACGGTACGAATTATACATGCATGATGAAGATAGCAATACTATCGTCATCGCCAGACTTTTTGATCTTGCTGGGGCTCAGGCCTTCCCTTTGGATGGAATCGAATCAAATAGAATAGGGAGAATGGGGCTCACCACGCGGGCCCATTGTGGATCTTAAATACAGCCGGGAGTAGCTGGAAGTAGCCGGGAGCAAAAATTTAATTTAAAATAACCTAACATCTATAAAATATATCACTTTGGGGGACCGGTTAAAAATCTAAGAATGAGTTTCTTTTATTATTATTTACTTTTAAAGGAAACTCGGGTTATTGTGTCGGATTTATTTTTTATTTATATTTTTTATAGGAACATTTATATTTAAGAAAAATAATATTTAAGGCTTTTTCACTTTCATTTTACTTATTAATGACTAGTTTTTATTTCTATAACTAATAATGAATTGTTACTTAATCTTGATATTATTAGTCTCCAACTATTAAATATAATAATTTTCTCGCTTCATCCGTTTGGGAGCTATGATGTCACAGACAGGTAGACACACAGACACGTCAAACTTATAACACCCCGCTTTTTAAGACGGCGATTTAAAATGATTTTTAGGGTAATGGATTAATGTGTGTGCGTGAGTTTCTTTATTCCACCATGACTTTTAAATCGGAACTAAATCAAAAATATTATGTTCTTCAAAACAAATTGTAAGGACTACTATTCGTAAATTTCGCAGAAATCACTAGTATTACGTAAAAGGTTATTCATTCGCGTTTATTTTTACCTTGGCATTGTTAAATTTGCACGAAAATATATCGTTCAATAGACGATAATCTACACTCAGCAATCTAAAATCGATGCCCTCACGTTACTTGTATACTGTCAATAGAAAAATGTTTCTATAGAAGGCAACATTTGTTCTTGGAAATCTTTTACATAATTATATGTTGTTATACAAAGGTGGACTTAATACTTGAAACATTTTCTGCCTTAGAGTTCTGTGAAGAGAAATAAGTGGTGAGATGCATCAAAGTTAATATGAAGCCAGAAATAAGTTACTTTTAGAAAAAAAATACAGACTTTCGTCTTTGTGCAAAGCCAAAATAACTCCAGTTATATACTGGAGTTATTTTGGCTTTGCACAACTGTAATTTACATGTAGTCTGTACGATTTTTATCGATACCTTCAATAATCATAGTATATATAAGTACCTCAGTCAATTAAAACAACATTTTAACGAATGGCAATCAGTCAGCAAAGCAGTCCTATTTTGCTCTCTCTTGGCGATGATACTGTGATTGGAGGACAATCGTCAAAAATTTATTTCATAGCGTACGTTAAACAAGTACTAAAAGCTACTTAATTTTAGAGCTGAGCATTATGTGATGCATTGTTCTATCATCAAACAATATAAATGTTATGATGGAAAAATCATCAAACAATACATATTATAGGGAATAGAGTAGATGGAAAAAGAAAGAATTGGTTATTACCATAGATGATAGCTCGTGTTTCTAATTAATCTTATCATATAACAGTTGTTTAATTAATTTCCACATAAACGACGATAGCATTACTAAAAAAATCTAAAAAGACAAAAACGCTAGCCATAGATAATTCATCTAATAAAATCAGGAGCTACGTGCAGTAACTCTGTGCACTTTTCTAAATACTACAGTGAAATACTGAGGGAAAAGAGGAAGGAAAGTAATATGTTTAAAAAATATCCAGGATAAGAGGGATGACCAAATCACAGAAAGATATTAAAAAACATTGAATACAACAGTATAGATGTAAGATGAGAGAGTCGGAAAAAAGATAAGGAAAGGCGGACGGAACTGGATATAAAGGAAAGGTACAGGATAACCAATTCTCCAGCAGATGATGCAAAAAAAGTTCAGACGAGCAAAGCCATAAGAAATTAGGTGATTCCCAATATTTCGGCATTGTTGCAAACTCAGACGGAAATCATGGAAGTTTAAAACAATGTTGAGTTGAGAGTTCAAAACTCTCAAAAAATCTCTATTCTATTTTTATTTGATAAAAATACCTTATAGTATTATAACATTGACAGGTGATATCAGAAGTCATAAAAACGGACGGACGTATATGAAAAGAGTAATGAAAGTATAGGTAAGGGCCGTGCCTTGTGATGTTTTTTTTTTTTCTTTTTTTTTTTTTTTTTATATAAAGGAGGGCAAATGACTGCGCTCCACCTGATGGTAAGCGGAGGCGTAGTCCAAACGCGAGGACAGCTAGTGAAAACAGTACGTTGTTCTCTCTACCCCCTACGAGCTACGGTATAAAGGCATAGACAAACAGATAGTTATAATAACCATGGTAACGTACCGGCTGTATCGAGCGCTGTTTCATAATCGGCTACTTCTTGTGTTTGCGTCGCTTGAGCATCCATTGAGGTACATCTCCGCGTAGCTGAAACATTCAAATATGTCACATTGAAAATTAAAGTGTATGTAACAAATAAAATTAAAAAAAATAAAAATCCTTGACCCAAAAAATACTTTAAAGAGTACACAAATAAACTTTAAAACAAAAATATTATTTTTATACTTTTAAGAATTGTTTTTGGGTCAGAGGTTTTAATTTTTTTTGTAATACTTTAAAATATATCTGAAAATTATCTTAATAAAAGAGGCTATCGATAAAAAAATCAAATCGGTTTATAACAAATAATTGAAAAAAGTAGATACTTCGTCTTGGTAAAATGCCTGTAGCTCAAAAAAACAATAATCAAATCGATTTTCTACTTCAGGAGCTACGGTACCATAGACAGACACACAATCAGACAGTCACTTCAAACTTATAACACCCAACTTTTCGCGGTCGTCGTTCCTAGATGACGAGGGTTAGAAATATCAATAAATAACATTGCTGAAAGTAAAGATAAAAGATAACAATGAGGGAAATCAACGTGATATATAATGATGCCAATTAAGAGTGCCAAATTTGTTTTATTGATGATAAATAAAAAAAAAATAACCAATAATATTCATATACATTTCCGAAACTTTATCTACACAGATTACCATAGATAAATTTCGAAACTACAGGACTGATTTAAAAAAAAAATCTTGTCTACGAAAAGCTAAATCATACGCGGGTGACATTGGATATAATTTACGATTGCGAAGTCGCGGGAAAACACCTACTATATAAAGTACATAAATAAGAATTCCTTACAAAGCATTAATTATAATGATAACTATTTATTATTGGTACTTAAAAGTCTTACTGGGTCAAAAGAATTGAATTTCACAATGGTATTTAATAATTTTATGTAATAAGAAATATTATTGTATAAACTCTATGTGGTTCAATAAAATGTGTGTAAAGACAAATTGGAAAATAATATTAATTATTAAACCTAACTTCACAAAAAAGAGGATCTTCCAGCCAAAAGTGAATTCACTTCTAGGTTCCCAGCCCAGGTTCGTTCCATTTTTTTTAAACAAAAAAGCTTATTTTCAATATCTGTTTTATTTAACCTCCATGGTAAGATTTCTAAAAAAAAAATCTTCTTTAGTGCACACTTGAATGTAAAAAAAACCTTATTGCACCGAAGAGTATTAAAATTTAATATTGTTTTGATACAAATACATTTTAGTGACGACCTCTGTAGCTGATTGGTTCGCACGTTGGTTTCAACGTATCGCCATGTCTGAGGTCCGGGTTCAATTCCCGGTCGGGTCAATGTAGAAAATGAACTTTTCCATATTGTTTCAGGTCTGTGTGTTGTGATACCTTCGTTTTCTCAAATACAATTAAAAGGGAGGCTTTAATAAAAAGAGGGACTTTAACTTCTCCTCTTGGAATCTAAGCAATATATGTGATGTTGTCTTTTATTGATATTTATTATTTATTTACAGATGAAGACTTAAAAAAGGAACTCGATAGTACAGTGGTTAGGTGTTGGGTATGTGATGCTGAGATTAAGAATCTTTCCCAAGGACATCATAGTCAACCTGTAACTGAATATAGAATTTATTGTTGTCACAGTATAGACTTCTAAATATTTGAAGCAGATTTTATTTGATTGCTTCGCTGTGAGAGCACTGTGCTCGACGGAGAGTTTCAGGTTGATTTTCTTACAGAATAAGCTGTACATTTATGCGAGTAGTAATACAAAATTAATCCACAGAAACCGGACGTTACCTTACATCAGAGGCGTTATTTTAAATAGATTTAAATAAAAAACCTTGAGTAATAGAAATTTGTAGGAGCTGTGTCCTTGAATTTCTTGCTTATAACATAGGAAATACTATTACTAAAAACTACATTGAACAGAAATTATTCTTTTGATTAAAATAAAAGTTTAGGAAATTGAAAACATTCAGAAAATAAGCCCTAACAAGTTATATCCCACCATAGTAGCATCCACTTTCAATTGCAATCCAATTTACATTTTTTTTATACGGTCGCCAATGTCAATGTTTGTTTTTATATTAATCAGCGAAGCCATTTGTTAATTTCCTAGATCGGTTAAGAAACTGGTTAATACTAGTAAGTTCTAACGTACAGTCGACAAAAAGGAGTAACATCGATTTGTTTTTAAATCAGGAGCCATGAAATTAGCGCATTAACTGTACTAATATTGAAAACGGAAAAGTTCGTTTGTTTGGCCTTCTTTTACTTTTTAAATGAGCATTTATACAGAGAGAGAGAGAGCTGGAAAATAATCAATGCTAATTTTTACAATGAAAAAAAAAGATCCCTCGGGTTTTTTTCAGTAATAAAGTAAAATTGGTCAATTTTGCCTTCTTATCTCAGAAAATGTTAGACATAAATTTAGATATCCATTTTTACAAAAAATACAGAAGTCAGTAACTTTTATTATCAGCGTATTGTCCCCTTTACTAGGGCTACTACCTCGGTTATGGATGGGAGAATCAAAAAGAGCATGAGCCCTTATAATCTACCATGTGGTCCTGGGGTCAATGGTTAACGACTCACAAACTCTAGAAAAGGCTTAACTTACCATCTCAAGCAAGAAAGAGCTCGAAATATTAAAAAAAATTCTACCCATCCTATAATCGACTTTTTCAAATTTTGCTTTGCATTTAAACCTAATCTCCACAAGGAAAATTTCCAAATTTTGTATCGTCATTGACACAAAAATTAACAATGTCCTTAGGTGCGTTTCCAACCTCACTAATTTTACGTTATATGCAGGAAAATGTTGTAAGCAGTGCATAAAATTCGGTACTGTTATTTACGGTATATCATTTTCACGGTTTTGCTCAAAATTTTCTTCGTAAATTATGTTCTGCTAACGAAAATAAACCGTGAAAAACTTGTACATTTATTACAATTTTTTCTTGTATAACCTATTTTAGTTAATTAATAACTTCATGTTCATATTAACGTCAAACATTGTACGAGATTATATTTTTAGAACACTTAATTCAGAATTAATATAACTAAAAACAAATACATTTATAGAAATAATGTTTATAATACGTGCATAATTTTATATATTCATTTAAAAGATCATATGAAACTGTTAAACATTAAAGATTTATTTTAAATTGATAAAGTATCTTCTAGAACACTGCAGTGTAAAATACTTACTTTTAATTCAACATTATAATTCTAAATATCTAGATAAAATGAAGTAGCCAAATTAATTTTCCGTTTATTAATTTGCAGCTGTTTCCGCAACTTTACCTTCGTAAATAACCTATGTTACCGGCGTATGACACAGCTTCGAGTAGGTGACAGAATTTTTAAAATCGTTCAATTAGTTTCAGTATAGTATTGGTATACACAAAAAAAAAACGGCTAAGTGCTAGTGGGACTAGCGCACCGCGGGTTCCGTAACAACCAGCATGTATATTATGATGTAACAAAAGGTTTCCGAATTGTTTTCTTTATATGTACTATAAAACATTGCCTTATTCCAAATTTCAAGATTCTAGGTCAACTGAGCGTACCCTTTAGGTATTGATTCCCTTGCGAGTAGTTACGAGTTTGAAAATATACTGCTTAAATGGCTGTTTCTTTTGATTGCGTTGACATAGAAGTTTGATTTTGTTACAGCTTAAAGGTATTATAGACCTGAGTATTTGATATGAATTTCGATTTAATACCTCTATGCGTTCATTAGGGTACTTTCAAATTATTAAAAATATTTTTATTATATGATGTATCAATAATTATCCTATAAGGGTTCCGTTTTTTCCTTTCGATTTACGAAATCCCTACTAATGGAAATGAAATCTAAGCCCTGCGATTCTATAAAAATCCAAATCCACTTCATATTCACTTCAAAAAGCGGCATCCGCTCAACCTTGAATTGGCAAAAGTGAAGTGATTTTCGAAATGACATAAGAATAGAATATCTGTGACACGTATATTCAATCAATTTTGTTTTGTATTTATGTACAAAATATGGAATAGAATTTCTAAACTAAATGACGCGAATTCTAACACATGAGTGAATTCAAATTCGGGTCTGGATTTTTACTGAATCGTATTGTAGATCATCGTTACGAGAAGATTTTTTTGTTTGGAGATTGCTAGGAAGAAAAGTAAAAGGCTACTTTAACTACACTCGAGAGCAATGAATACGGGTCACTTAAGAATCCTAAAAATCTCGGAAACTAAAAATGCAAGGTTAATGCAATAAATTGTATTTAATAGACAATTTAATACTCCTTAAATGAAGGTATTAAAACATCTTAAATTTGAAAAAGGAACACGAGTATATAAAATAATATGTGGAACTTATTTAAGATAGGTACATAAAAACAGAGCATTAATATCCTCTATAATATTACTGTAAATTACATAATAAAGACATATATTCTTAATATAAAAAATGCTAAAAGATCTACTTAGGCCCTGGCGCCCTAAGATGGGATTCGAACCCACCTTTCGCTGTCCAAGCGACTGCTCTAACCACTGAGCTACCCAGGACCTAACATGACTGACGAATCTTTCAAGCACTTGTTACTTTTTTGCTACTACAGAGTGTATTTCCATTAATATTCAGGCAATCCGCCCAAACAGCCGAAAGAAAATAAAAAGGGAGCAAGTGGATTTTTTAAGAATTGTTTATTAAGAATATTTTACAGTATAGCATTGTGAATGCGAAATTGATGAAATATAATAATGATAAAGATATATTAAATAACATATAATATCATATTTCGTTACGTACATATTTATATTTTATGTGTATGAATCATTTTAGTGTTATTATAACAAAGTTTGCATAATTTTAAACATTTGCACGTTGACTAACTCAACACTTTATATAATGGAATGAAACATGTATTGATTGATGTGGTCGAATCATTAACACACAAAAAAAAACTATGATAATTACAAATTGTGTAATGAAATGAAAATATCTTTATTTAAGTAGGCTATTACAAGCACTTTTGAATCGTC